CGCAGGTCATGTTTTGAAAGACGATGTCCTGTAGCTTACTGATGTAAATAAATAAAAATGTATACAAAGATGTGATGATGTCCGACCAAAAATGTGATGGTACTTTGGGTTTAATTGGTCGTACAATGAGATCTAATATATGTTGTTAGTATCGTGAATACATAGATCCGCCTGTGTTGCGTATGTACTGTAATGGTCCAGTGGCAGAATTTTTGCCAAGCGTGTCGGAGGTTCTGGGTTCTAATCAGCACTCGTATAGTTTTTTTCCCTCATCAAAACCGATAATGTTTATCAGTGATAAAGTATATCAAGATTCAAAATGCTTGATATTAAACAAAATGCTTTGTTTGTGTGCAATCAAAATGCACACAAACGTGTCCCTGCTTCTCTGGGTTCTAATCCGCACTCGTATAGTTTTTTTCCCTCATCAAAACCGATAATGTTTATCAGTGATAAAGTATATCAAGATTCTTGATATACAACCACTGATAAACATTATTGGTTTTGATGAGGGAAAAAAACTATACGAGTGCGGATTAGAACCCAGAGAAGCAGGGACACGTTTGTGTGCATTTTGATTTGTGATTTCACCGGAACGAATAGAATCTCCGCAACGGATTGAAGCGCGCGTCCGAGTGAAGACAACACATTTCAGCGCTAGATCGCCTCTTATTTAACAAATGAATGAAACGAATGCTGCTAGTTAACTGGAGATGTTTTATTTGTATTGGTAAATCCGTGCCGCGAGATGTTTCAAAAGTGGAGGGGACAATATCGACCCTGGCAAAAAGTGGTGGGGACATGTCCCACCCGTCCCCCCTGTAAATGATGCCTATGGTGACGGCTTATGATATTTTTTCATGTGCCTGAGAAGGCTTTTTGAATGTCTGAAACTCTTTTCACATTGAGTACAGTACAGCTTTTCTCCAGAATGAACTGGCTGATGTTCTTTCAGGTGTGCAGACTGAGTGAAACTCTTGTCACAATATGAGCACTTGTAAGGTTTTTCTCCAGTATGAGTTCGTTGGTGACTTTTCAGATGGTCAGATGTAATAAAGCTCTTCCCACAGTCACAACACACATGATTTTTCTCACCGGTGTGTGTTTTCTGGTGCCGTTTACAATGTTCCAGCCGTGAAAAAGTCTCTCCACAAAATGAGCATGCATAAGGCCTCTCGTTTGTGTGAATTATTTGGTGTTTTTTTAGATTTGATGACATTTTAAAATCTTTACCACACTGATCACAGCTAAATGGCTTTTCTTCAGAGTGAACGCGCAGATGATGATACTTGAGATTGGTTTTACATTTGAAACTCTTCTCACACTGAGTACAGTCGTACGGCTTCTCTCCAGTATGAACTCGCTCGTGTAATTTTTGGGATCCAGACTGAGTGAAACTCTTTTCACAATATGAGCACTTGTAAGGTTTTTCTCCAGTGTGAATTCTTTGGTGCTGTCTCAATTGGCCAGTTGTAGTAAAGCTCTTCCCACAGTCACAACACACATGATCTCTCACTTCATTGTGTGTTTTCTGGTGCTGTGTAAAACTGTTCAACCATGAAGAACTCTTTTGAGCTTTGAAGTCATGTTCCTCTTTAACTTCATTCAGTTCTTGTCTTTGTTCCTTCACTTCCATCTGGTCTAAAAAAACAAAACCATATTGAATAGTTAGAACAGTTACCTTAATGTTTCTCAGCAGTCAACAATGAAGAATCAAGAATGGACACCAACCTATTTGTTCCTCAGTATCTTCATGTTTTATTCTGGATGGTTCTGGATCACTCATGTCTTCAATCTCCTCTTTAATAAACTCCATCTTTAACAGTCACACAGATTTCAGCTGCTACTCCTGGAGTTTGTGCTTCTCTTGTAGGATGATGGGAATATTCCCAGTATTTATTGGTGAATTGTTGTGGGAGGGGCTTCACTGCAGGTGTGAACTGTGATCACTGTGCGATACTGACGCCCACAGGACCAGATCTGGGGAAATCAAAAACAGTCACAAAATATATACTCAGTTAATTGTATTACTCTGAAATTATGTGAACATATTTGTTGTACAGAGTAAGGTTGTATATTGTTACTAGGCCATATAAAAAACATCGGAAAGAAGCAAGGTCTTTGTGTAACCCAGGTTTAAAAAAAAAAAGAATTCAACTGGGCACATAAAACCAATTTAAAATTATTTCATACACTGATGAAGTTCATTAACCATACATTACAACACATTGTTAATTAATATTATGTTATTCAATTCTTACTTTAGAAACAATTAGAATATGTAATGTTTATTACATATTAACACTAAACCTGAGCACATAATATGTTATTAGTAGTTAAATACCTCATATTTCAAGCTGGATCATGTCACTCTGTAAATCGGGATCATATCTCACGTGTGGCAACAACATACAGACTGAGGATATCCAGCGAAATTACTCCACAACTGTCCTTCATTCAAACTCTTACACGGTCGTCACAGCCTCTCGATTAATACAAATACTTGAACTGGTTTTCAAACGTTCAGCACTCGCGTCTTGTTCTTTTGGATTTACACGGTACACCCTCTTTAGTGTAACGCTATTACTGCCAACAACTGGATGTTTACATGTTTATGAATCCAATAATGAAAGCTCTGTTTAGAAGAACAAAAAACTTTGCCATACAATTTGCATATTAGTTGGCATTTGTATTACGTGTATTCCGAACCCAAACAAACCTTAAGCGCATGCGCAGTGCGTCAATCGCCGCGTTCAGGACCGGAGAAAGACAGTGCTATAATATTACTGGAGCTGACGCGAGCCTAATTGCGGGTTTTGCCTTGACGACATTTCAAAGAGAAAGCCGACATGTCACTAGAGACCTAGTATATGAGGTCGTGAAGTAATTCCCTGATTACGCTCTAATTCAGTACTGCAAGGATATTGTACAACGCCAGGATAACCGTCCTTCTCATCTGAGCTCCTCAGTCTAACAGCGCTCGTCACTGTGTCAACATGGTTGAGATGACCAATCAAATCAAAGTAGGCGGGGCTTATTGTTCACAGAGGCTGCTGTGCGCGATTCCAGAGTGACGTTTCAGTTAACGGTTATAAAGTACGAGATGATATGATGTAGCCTACTAGATAAACTAAACATTAATATTTGCCAGCTGTTTTACGATAGAAATGTTAAACGACCGACAAAAATAATCAGGGATGCAAACTAATAAACTTTTGTCTAATTTTGCCATTTTGAATTGAAATATAATTAGCTTGATTCATGTAGCGGCCTAATGTAATTCGAAAATGTCAATGTGACTAGACAAGAAACATTAAAAAAGCTGTTTTCATAATTTTAGGAAAATGATTAATAAATGTGCACGTACCTAGCTGAAGCCTCCAGTAAGCTATGCACAAAATTCATAAAACATGTAACATGTTTACTCTAAGTTTGCTTTCTTCACTGTCAGATAAAAAAGAAAAAAAGTATTAATAAAAGCTCAGCATTGGGAATGGAAGAGATACAAGGCAAAATAAGGAGACTGAGGGGAAAAGAAAGAGAAAAGGTGATGAAGAACAGAGAGGAATAGCAGGTACTGACAAATAACTTGTTGATTAGTGTATGTGCAATATTGTGGATGTTTTATTGGAGTCAGAGTGATCATTTTACAAATACAATATAAAGCAATAAACAAAACATTTCAAATCTGTATCTAACACCATACACTTGCGTTTACTTAATTTAAACTTAATAATCTCCTGATTACACTAAAAGGCTTAGCCTATTTAAGGCATGTTTCACTGCTGAAAAGCTCATAGTTCCCTGTTTTCTCATTCATGAAGGTGATGCCTGCGATCTTCTGTAAATTTGCACATTAACATAGAATGCATAAAAGGGGTGAAATTGATCCAGCATGCTTTCATATTTCTTGGTCTTAAGATAGGATTTCTTTTTTTTTTTTTATAACTACCATCAATGCATAAAATGGGTCAAATTGACCCCTATTCATTTCCATTTTTGTCAAATATATTTATTTTAAATCTTGTATTTATAAATCTGAAGATTCAAGTGAACCTTGATTTAATAGAAAACAAGTGAGATCAGGTATCGGTCTGTAAAATATCAGATCTTTGATTTACCAAAGGTTAGTTTTGTCAAATATCCTAGATTATTTGCTTATTTTTCACAGATCTTATTTGGCATCTAACAATATATAAACTAAGACAAACAGCCAGTGATCATCATACATTTAAACTAATTGAATGATTAATATGTCAGTCATTGTCTTTATTTATTTTTACAGAAATTATTCTTTGTGTAGAAGGTAAAAAATATAATTAAACAAGAGAATACGGTCATTCGGATAATAAATATTTTGTCATTGAACTTGCATGATACAAATTAAATTACACAAAATAAATCCTCTATGTAAATCCTTTATATTTGTACACACTTGCAACTTACTGCAGCAGTTTGAATGACATTTTAAACCATAATCAAGAAAACAATCCCTTTTATTTTCTAGTTTGTTTATTGTTTAACATTTTACAGCTTCTATTATTTTCTAACTAAAGCCATCGACTCTTTTCAATCAGAATAGAGTAAACATTAGTAAATATTCATGCCATTTATTATGTCAAGCAGATTTTGCCATTATGACAAATACAAATAATTATCGACACTGTAATAATTATTTTCTCAAGCTTCAAAAACCTCTTTTTTTATTCAGGCAGATTTAGGAAAGATACGATACGCATGTGCAAGCGTTAAATGATAAATCAATGACCACTACATAAATGAATAATTAAAAAAAAATAAAGAAAATAAAACACAACACAACACAGGTGTATGTTTGATCTCTCGAAGTAATACACACAGGTTGTTATTGAGAAACTGATTTTCTGAAGCTTCAATAACCCCTCTTTTAGTTCCTTATTCAGACTACAAACAAGTCTTCTAAGCATTTCACCAAATTCACAAATTTAAACTAGATGATATTGTTCTTTTGGGAGCAACTCCATATTTAGTTAATCTCACAACATTTACTTTAATGTATTTGACACAAAAAATGAAATGTTGCTCATTGCGACCACTTATGATATTTCCTCATGTGCCTGAGAAGGCTTTTTGAATGTCTGAAACTCTTCTCACACTCAGTACAGTCGTACGGCTTCTCTCCAGTATGAACTCGCTCGTGTTCTTTCAGAGATCCAGACCGAGAAAAACTCTTGTCACAATATGAGCACTTGTAAGGTTTTTCTCCAGTATGAATTCTTTGGTGACTTTTCAGATTTTCAGCTGTAGAAAATCTCTTCCCACAGTCCAAACACACATGATCTTTCTCACCGGTGTGTGTTTTCTGGTGTCGTTTACAATGTTCCTGTCGTGTAAAAAATGCTCCACAAAATGAACATGCATAAGGCCTCTCGTTTGTATGATTTTTCTGGTGTGATTTTAAATGTGATGACGAAATAAAATCTTTACCACACTGATCACAGTTAAATGGCTTTTCTCCAGTGTGAACGCGCCGATGATGATGTTTGAGATCGGTACTACTTCTGAAACTCTTCTCACACTGAGTACAGTCGTACGGCTTCTCTCCAGTATGAACTCGCTCATGTATTTTCAGGTTTCCAGACACAGTAAAACTCTTGTCACAATATGAGCACTTGTTAGGTTTTTCTCCAGTATGAATTCTTTGGTGCTGTTTCAGATAGGAAGCTGTAGTAAAGCTCTTCCCACAGTCACAACACACATGATCTCTCACTTTATCACGTGTTTTCTTTTGCCGTTTACATTTTTTCGTCAATGAAAAACTCTTTTGATTTTTGAAGTCGCAATGTTCCTTCTCAACTTCATTCAGCTCTTGTCTTTGCTCTTTCACTTCCATCTGGTCTGAAAAAAACATATTAAGGAGTTGGATAAATCAAATAGATGTCAGATTATAATAAGTTCAATGATCATTGAGTTGCATTTTCTCTTTTATTATAATTTAGAGCTGCCCACTAATAGTTGACCAAACGTTAATTGAGGGGAAGAGTATTAGTCGACTAAATTTTAATTAGTCAGTTAGTTAAAAAAGAAAAAAAAAAAATCATGCAAAAAAAAAAACGAAACCGCGTTAATTAGGGCCACATGGACAATTTATCAGCTCAGCTCAAAAAGCAAATATTTTGCCACTTGCTTGAGCAACTAAATATATAAATACAGAAGTAATGAATTGAATAATATGTTGTTTAAATTGATTGTGTTTAAATGTGAATACGTCTATGAAAGTGTTTGTGCTGTGTACAAAGAGAAAGGCAATCCTGTCAAAACTTTTTTTTTATACAAGTTGCTGATAACTTTTGGATTTATAAATAAAAGTAGTGAATAGAAGCAGCTAACGGGAATGTGCAGTCTCAAGCGCGTCATGTTTCTATGATAACCAGGGGTGCGTTTCCCGAAAGCATCGTTAGCCAACTATGGTCGCAAGTTGGTCGCAAATCTCCATCGAACTCTATTGGTAACGACGGAACTTGCGACCATAGTTGGCTAACGATGCTTTCGGGAAACGCACCCCAGAGCGGGACTTATTCCGCCAAGCCACGCTTTGCACTTCTCCAAACACTTCTTTAATTCTCTCCCATTTTTATAATAATATGAATGAACAGTCTTGTTTAATCTTAAAGTTTTGGTGGTCAGACTCGGCGCAGAGAGCACAGAGATAGCAAATAAATAATGCTAACGTCAGCGGCCATGGCACTGAATGAGCGATCGTTATTATAGTTAAAAAGGGCAAACAGTTAATATGCGAGTTAACTCGAGTCAAAATTCAAATTTGCTAAGTCGCATTTGTCATCCGTCACCAAGTGGACTTTTGAAGCTGAAATAATAAGTGGATTAAGCTTGGAATAACGAGAGAAATAACATGGATAGAACTTTCTTGTCGGTGGATTGTAAAAAGGGTTTGTGTCTTCCCGCCGGGTTCGGGTCCAGCTTTCAAATAATAGACGGGTCCAGGCCGGGTCCGGTAGTAGGCCTACATTTATGGCTTTTCTCGGATTTTCACGGGGCCGGGTCCAGCTTTTGAAATAATAGACGGGTCCGGGTCGGTTCGGTGTAGCACATTACGGGTCTCTTTCGGGTTCGGGCACAAAATTTTGGACCCGTGGAGATCTCTAGTGTGTGTATCCCCCTGTTGCAGATCATTTACGTAGTGTCACGTAGTGTGAATACCACAACGACTTCAAGACTCCAGAGCAAGTCATGTAGTCTAAACAGCACAGCGATCTGCCGGCGTTTAAAGTTGTGTAGTGTGAGCTAGGCATAGGAACATTTTCGTAGTTGCATTCGCACCGACAGTAGGAACTGACGTAAGCCGCGCTTGTTGTTGTGACTTTTATTTTGACAGCGGCTGACCTTTATTTTGACAGAGTCTGAGCAAACAGCGCTCGCATTCTCCATGTTCATTAGTTTACGATTTGTCTAACAGTCCTGTCTAATACGTTATTAGATATAACTGTTAAACATAGAAAGTCGACAGTATATGAAAAGGTATTAGCATATGCCGTGTGGTTGATGTGCAGTGTCGCTAGCTGGGCAGAAATACATAATCATGTTTCGCTTGGTCCCCTAAAAGTTGCGTTCGATTTTCTCCTTGCAATCCATTGCATGGTTTGAAGACATGAATATATTTAGAATACGTTACTACGACGCACTCCCTTCATTTTTCCTTGTGTTTGCTGCATGTTTTAAGCTTGAGCCACACACACCTCATAACTACACACTATAATGATGACCTTGCTTAATTGACCATTGATCAAGTTGTATCGATTAAATTATTGACAATTAATCAATCATTGATTGATTTATATATATAACATCAGCAAGAACTTAGAATGATTAATAAATGATTTCCCATCATTTTTGGTCATCACAAAAATTAACCGAAACTCAGCGTATACCTGCCCCACAGACAAGTATAAGGTTGTGGGGACCCACCCATTTAGGTAATTAAATTAATATCATAATTTAAACGTGCGATTAGCTGACTATTGGTTTAAATGAACTCTTTAGTCAGGGGTAGTATAATTATAGTACTCATTTTTTCACAACCACTAGATCTGGTGAACTACCTTAATGTTTTCAACAGTCAACAACAATAAAGAATCAAGAATGGACACCAACCTATTTGTTCCTCAGAATCTTCATGTTTTATTCTGGATGGTTCTGGATCAGTCATGTCTTCAATCTCCACTTTAATAAACTCAATCTCCTCTTTAATAAACTCCATCTTTAACAGTCACACAGATTTCAGCTGCTACTCCTGGAGTTTGTCCTTCTCTTGTATGATGGGAATATTCCCAGTATTTATTGGTGAATTGTTGTGGGAGGGGCTTCACTGCAGGAGTGAACTGTGATCACTGTGTGATACTGACTCGACAGGACCAGATCTGGAAAAATCAAAAACAACGGACTAAACATATACTGAACTACTTTAATTATGCAGAAATCATGTGAACATTTTTGCTGTACAAAGTAAAGTTGTATATTATTACTATATAAAACATCTGAAAGAAGCAAGTTATCTTTGTGTAACCTAAGATTTTTTAACAAGGATAAAACAGGTTTGCTGGTTAAATTCTTTAATTATTTTTTCTGGTTCTCTGGATAAAATATACCGTACATGTATTACCGTATCCTGAGAACCAGAAAAATATATATGTCATTACATTGGTTTGAGCATAATACATGTATTGTCTGCTGTAGACCAGGACTCGGTTATTGAGAAAATGAAAAGACATTTTTCATTTTTTCATTCAAGACATTTCATTTTTTCATTCAAGACATTTCATTTTTTCATTCAAGACATTTTTTTTTATTCACCCCAATTTTTTTTTAACTTTGTATAAAGGTGATTCTCAACTATGTTGTGGAAGATATAACATAACGATTTGATATACCATTTTACTTATCAAATGTGTGTGTGTGTGTGTGTGTGTGTGTGTGTGTGTGTGTGTGTGTGTGTGTGTGTGTGTGTGTGTGTGTGTGTGTGTGTGTGTGTGTGTGTGTGTGTGTGTGTGTGTGTGTGTGCGTGTGTGTGTGTAAACATGACCATGGGTAATCCTTTTCTATACAATGCATCTATAGCCTACACAGTCTGTCTATAATTTGCATATTAATCCATTCTTGGTGCAACACGTCATGAAAAAAGTACTGTAATATGGAAATAATATATAATTTCTTTCCCAATTCACTTCTCTCCCAAAATGCCTGATAAACGAAAATTAACTCATTTTATTATTTGTTACTCATACATTTGATTAGTATGCCAAGTGTTCGCTTATGAACCTAACTGCAAATGTGAAATAGGCCTATAGTCTATAATTTCAAACATTAATAAAAAACTAGCCTACTTAAACATGTAGAAACCCCTAGGGCTGTCCGATTATTCTTAACTGATTTCGAGTTTGGCTTACAGTGATTATGAAAACAAGACAATTCAAACCGATTTTACAGCAATTCGTACGAATTTTACGAGGTGGCTAATTCGTGCGAATTCGTACGATTTTTGCTATCGTACATATTTTACGCGTTGCCCAATACATATTCGTACGAATTAGCCACATTTTAATCACTCGTACGAATTCGTACGAATTGGTCGTGAGATAACGACAGCGTGGGATAATCGAGGTAAAACAATTATGCCGCTGCCGCATTCCGTCCAGAACACCGTCATTTCGTTCCTCCAAAAGCCCAAACCTTAACCATCAAATCAGCTGTAAAATACAGTCTACTGTTGCTCCTGCAGGGCGTGCTTGATATTAAACAGTGTTATTAAAAGCACATTATGCGGGGTGGCACGTATAACTTTGAGCTTCAGGGACTAAACGGTCAAATAATATAGAAGATTTTTATTAATCAGAACATAAATTGTTTAAGTAGACTATATAACATAGTCAATTTGTGGGAACATGTTTTTCTACTATTTATAAGTCTGTGTAGATGCATGCCGATAAAATAATTAAATGTGTTTGCTCGCTCTGCCATTAGATGTAAGTCTCGTTCTGTCATTTAAGAATATTTAGGATGAGCGAGGGCCTCTTCTGGAAATAGATCGAGACCTCTCATGCAAGTCTCTAAATAGCCTACAGACTGAATTCACAACCAAAAATGGAAGAATAGCCTAATAAATAAAAGTGGTTCTGACTGAGTTTGAAAATGTATTGACCCCCACCTTGGTGGAGCGATATAGTGTGCGAGAGCTGGTCCGCCAGTTGTTCTATACAGGCCAACTCGCATTTATTTCTTTGTAATAAACTCTCTATTCCGGCATTCTCTATTATTCTATAAAAATTAAAAAAACAAGACTTAGAGAGTGATTTTTCACAGAGGCAAAAGAAGCCACTACAATGCACACACAAAAATAAAGTTTTTGGGAAATGTGTTCTTTACAGGATTTCCAGACTGACATGCGGTGTCAGAGAAATTCGCTAATAATGTCCGATACAGGAGGAAACCCTGTGGGTCTAAGGAAAAAATAATTAAATACCTCTTCCAGTTGCTTCATGTCATCTCTCACGTGTGGCAAAAACTTACAAAATATCCAGCATTCAACGAAAATACTCCACAACTGCCCTTCATTTAAACGTGCACGATCATTACAGCCTCGTCGATTAGGCTATAAACAAATTCTGGTCTTCAAACTTTCAGCGCTCGTGTCTCTCTTCTGCGCATCAATTTGTTCTTTTGGATTTACATGGCAAACTAGAAACCTCCTTATGGCGCTTTTCCACTGCATGGTACGGATCGGTAGGACTGTGTAGCCTATTAGCCTACTGTAAATGTTTACATTACAGTCTACGTCATTACCACGCAGTAGCCTATACTATAAGCGAAATAAATGTCTCTTAAAGGCGCCCTATAATGTGTAAATATTGTTTTGACCGCGACAACTTAAGTCACAAGGTATTTTTTTAGCAAATGTTTAGTAAATATTAAATCTCCTCTAAACACGTGTATGTTCTTACAGAAAGAGATTGAAAAAGATCACGTAAAGTTATGTTAACGACTTTGAGGTGACTGTCATTAAATGATTTAAGATCACATTATTCAAACAAGTAGCCTACCCTACTTTTAAACTAAAGCGGTCTTAGATGAACGATCACTAATGCATTAAATTGATAAGGTGAACAAAAATGGTTTTTCAATGGTGCAAAAATGTTTTTTTTTTCTTTTTTTTTTTTCTACTGGGCATTGAGACACATTTAGACATTTCATTACTCATACAAACCTCAACTATAGTGACTGTTAACAACACAAACTGATCAACTCTGAACATCACTAAACAAGCAACTAAAGTCACAACAAACACAACCTGCATTATATGAATCACCAAAGATCGCAGTTAAAAATCCTGTATCCCTATCCTGTACAATTGTCTCTTCAGAAAAAAATGGACTAAACCAATTCATATGGATTAGTTTTACGATATCGTAATAAACTTTTTGAAGCATCAAAGTGGTTGTTGTGATGCTATAATGGAGGAATTGGGCCTAAAGCATTTACTCTTCATCTTCATCACTATAGAAGAAAGAAAGAATACTGTCGAAGCCTCCAACTTTGAGGAAGTACATCTTATCACAATTTTTTGGAAAGATTTTGTGCTCTAGCAAGGACTCTGAATACTTCAACCTTAGGGAAGCTGTGTGTGTGTGTCAATGTCTTTGTTACAAGATACCTTAGGAAGAGACAGCTGGTGAACAACTGGCTGGTGGTGGGTCACTTTGTGCCTAAACTTGGACCCCACCTGCCGTCACACATATAATCAATGGACATATATGAGCCAGAAGTCCATGTGTGGAGATTTTCTAAGTTTATCTGTCTTGACCATAGGCGTAAGTTACGGGTGGGACATGTCCCTATCACTTTTCCCAGGGTCGATATTGTCCGCACCATTTTTTTTAAACATCTTGCGGCATGAATGTACCAAATAGAAAGAAACATCTCCATTTCATTTAGCAATTCGGTTGTTTGTGTTAAAAAAATAGAATCACTGATAAACACATTTGATTTTAATGGGCAAAAAAAAAAAACTATAAGAGGGCGGATTAGAACCTTGAAGTTAAAGTTAGTAAAACTTAGTAAAAATTCTACCACCCGACCATTAAAGAACACGAATCTATGTATTAGTTCACTGATGCGAATAATCTCGGGACTAATATTCTAATTTGGAATAATTGATTACATTGTGATGTTATTTTTTTCATCCTGCAATTGTTATTAAACATATCATTATTCACAGTGCTTGAACAATCATTACATTTCAGTTCAGTTTATCTTTATTCATTTCCCGAAGGCAATTTGGTTGCAGCATATGATCAACAGTCACACAAGTCAACACATAAAAAAACCTCCTATAAACTCCTATACGCATCCCATAACATCTCTGACTATGGGCTGCATCTGAAATCACATAGGCCTACTTCCATACTATATAGTAGGGCTGGGTAAAAAAAAAAAATAGATGTTTGGATTAATCGTTTTTTAAAATCAGAGAATTGATTTATTTCCATATCTATCACCCAAAAGCCAGTATTAGTTTTCCTACGTTGTTCTTGCAGCCTCCATGTCACCGCTAATGCTGTGAGATTTTATGTTTGTTTTATCTTAAACATAAAATAACCTGATGCTGTTTGATCAAGGCATGCGACTGTTCTGACTCGTCCATTTTTCAGCATCAATTTTTCATCTTGCATCAAAATCCTGTCTATTCATTGTATGCATTTGAAATATAGAGTTGGCTTCTGTTTTAATGTAGGCTACCTAAAATAAAAAGAGTTTAATATACAGGTCTGTGGCTCTTCGTTTCTTTTTATTAATTAACCACTTGTAAACTTATGTTCACTGTTCTTTTTTTTATTATAAATATAGGATTTGTATTAAATCAATATTCATCATTGAGTCGAATCGAATTTAGAATCGAAATCGAATTGAATTGAGAGCTTGTGAATCGAAATCGAAATCTAGATTAAAAAGTTTGAAGAAGTTTTTAGTAACATCAAGCTATAAAAGAACAGCGTCTGAAGCTATAAAGGGATCTTAAAGGGACAGTTCACCCAAAAACAAAAATTCTGTCATCATTTACTCTTTTATCCTCAAGTTTTTCCAAACCTGTACAAGTTTCTTTGTTCTGTTGAACACAAAGGAAGATATTTTGAAGAGTGTGGGGAACTGGACAGTTCTGGGGCACCATTGACTTCATAGTTTACTATGGAAGTCCATGATTCCCTCCTTATTTTCCTGTTTATCACTGTGAACCTGTTTTAAATCAATCTGTATAAAATCCTATCGAAATAAAGGTGACTTGACTCTAATGCGCACCAGAGAATTTATATGGAGAAAGACCATGCAAATGTTAATAGTGGCTATGTTTCCATCCACTTATTTGTATGTGCATTTTTTATGAATGTATACGAAAACAGACCCACTGTTGCCTCTCCAACTGCAGCAAATTACATTACAAGTGAAAGATCATGTGTGTTGTGACTGTGGGAAGAGCTTCAAACATAAAAAAAACATTCTCTATCATAGAAAATGTTGTACAGTCGTCTTTTAAAGACATGAGTGATCCAGAACCATCCTGAGGAACATAAACCATCCAAGATACAGGAACAAATAGGTTGGTGTCCAGTCTTGAATCTCCACCATTCACTGTAAGAGGATATAGTTAAAACCAGTAGACCAGTAATGGTGAATGAAGAACAGAAATATCGCACTACTTCACGTTTCTTTGTATTGTATTATTTTTTGTACATGTTCTTCTTTTGTTTGATTTCAGTCTTAGTTTGTTTTCATTATATTGTATTTCTGAAATGTTGTTGTTAAATGTTCGCTACGTGTCTGCCATGTATTAGCCGGTGATGCTGAAATGGCAATAAACTCAAATACTAATGCATTTTATTTGGTATAGTTTCTAGTGCTTTGGGTTTTAGAAAAGCGCATTATAAATAAAATGTAGTATCGTTATTATTATACTCTCGAGTAGGCATTTATTTTGACTAAGCAATTACTTCAGGATCATGTCATTATCACGTTGTCATTATCATGTGACCTAATAGTGTCATTTGCATCGCTTCAGTGTCATTCATAAATCTAAATCAAAATCAAAATGTCACCAGAAGTAGTGGGTACTTTTGCCTGCTCTTTTATGAGTCCTGTGAATTCAGACTATACAGTAGGGCTGGGTATCGATTCAGATGTTCCAGTTCGATTCGATTTCGATTCACAAGCTCTCAATTCGATTCGATTTCAATTCTAAATTCGATTTTCGATTCGACTCAATGAATATAGATTTAATGCAAATCCTATATTTATAAAAAAGAACAGTGAACATAAGTTTACAAGTGGTTAATCAATAAAAAGAAATGAAGAGCCACAGACCTGTATATTAAACTCATTTTATTTTAGGTACATTAAAACAGAAGCCAACTCTATATTTCAAATGCATACAATGAATAGACAGGATTTTGATGCAAGATGAAAAATTGATGCTGAAAATTGGACGAGTCAGAACAGTCACATGCATTGATCAAACAGGATCAGGTTATTTTATGTTTAAGATAAAACAAACATAAAATCTCACAGCATTATAATGATATAATGAGCACACAGGTAATAATGATATGTTTAATAACAATTGCAGGAAAAAAAAAAATAACATTGTTGTCAGTATGTCCAGTAATCAATTATTCTAAATTACAATATTGTTAGTCCCGGGATTATTGTAATTTGTTATTATAAATAATTATTACTAATTTTTTATTTTTTTTGCCCATTAAAATCAAAGGTGTTCATCAGTGCTTATTTAAACTTCAAACTACTTTAAACTTTCTCAAGGCAACTTAAAGTTTAGTAAAGAATCAAGAATGGACACCAAACTGTTTGTTCCTCAGTATCTTCATGTTTTATTCTGGATGGTTCTGGATCACTCATGTCTTTAAAAGACGACTGTAACATCATCTTACAACATTTTCTATGATAGAGAATGCTTTTTTTATGTTTGAAACTCTTCTCACACTGAGTGCACTGGTACGGCATATCTCCAATATGAACTCGCTCGTGTTCTTTCAGGTTTCCAGAATGAGAAAAACTCTGGTCGCAGGATGAGCACTTGTAAGGTCTTTCTCCAGTGTGAGTTTTTTGGTGCTGTCTCAGTTGGTCAGCTCTAGTGAAGCTCTTCCCACAGTCACAACACACATGATCTCTCACTTCATTGTGTGTTTTCTGGTGGGTTTTACAATGATCCAGCCGTGAGAAACTCTTTCCACAGAGTGAACACACATAAGGCTTCTCGTTGGAATGAACTCTCTGATGTCGTTTTAGATCTGATGATGAAATGAACTTTTTCCCACACTGATCACAGTTAAATGGTTTCTCTCCAGAGTGACAGAGAAGATGTTTACTGAGAGCTGTTGTACGATTGAAACTCTTCTCACACTGAGGGCATGTATACGGTTTCTCTCCAGTGTGAATTCTCATGTGTTTGTTAAGGTCTCCTTTTCGAGTGAAACTCTTTCCACATTGAGTGCAGGTGTGCGTCTTTTTGGCTTTTGTTAGAGTTTTAAAGTTGTGACTTTCTTCTTCCACTTCATTCAGTTCATGTCTTTGCTGTTTCACTTCCATCCAATCTAAAATAAAATAAAAACATTATATGGTTAAAATAAGCTCAAAAGTATGATTTAATAGCAGAAAGCAACAGAGATGAGAGATTCATTTATTACAACTGCTATCCAGCTTTTTCCTATACGCCCCATGACTGAATTGTGTCTGTAACTTCCATTAAATTGTAAACAACAGGCGAAAGGTTTGCTCTATGAATGCAATAACCATTGACAAAAACTGGGAAAAAATAGATGACATCATCTATTCACATACATCCTCCATTTAACATTCAAACGCCAATTTAACAGTATAAAAGCATTAACAAATGACTCCAACAGACCATGAATAACCCCAAAAGTAGACCGCTAAAAAAATGATCACGATAAGATAATGTTTTTTTTTCATTCGGTATCGGTAATTATATATATATATATATATATATATATATATATATATATATATATATATATATATATATATATATATATATATATATAAGATAACCTTTTTTTAACAGACCAGTAGAAAAAAGGTTTGAATGTAAACACTGTATTTTAAATTTACGGTAAACAACAAGTTATTTTAGTTTTAACAGTCAAACACAAAATAAAATTGAAACAAACAATATCGTTCTTATTATATGAACATTAACTTCATATAATAAGACGCAATGAGCAAAATATCAATATAAAGCATTAAATCGCTTATTTAAAGCAATGAAATGACATGCCTGCCTACAAAAATAGTGCATAAAGTTTAAACTAACATTTATAAATCAAATATAATTTCGTAAATAACGTAAACAATTATGAACACAACAGAATTTATGCATAGCTTTAATTAATATAAAGAGCCGAAGCACCGATCACACATTGCACTTAAAAACATATTAAATGCAGTGAAATAAAATAAAAAACCCACAAAGTCTTAAAACATATTTGCTAAAAGTTACACCTCTTTTAACTTTACATGGCTTGATTCTGCAGCAATATTACGGACGCATTAAACATCACATAATAAATGTCATTAATATGTAACATGTGTTATCTTGACCAGAAATGTTCATTAACTGGAACATTGGGTGTTAATATTTCAATGTGATTTTGTCATTTGACAGACAATATGTACATGCTTTAAAAACATTTGAAAGTGAAACCAAAAACTGCATTAAAATACCACGCGTTACTTACTGTAACTGTATCCTGACGTCTGAAAATAAAAGATGAACAACATTTTACACCTCACTCAGTCAAACTGACGGATGAGGATTATTTCTAGAGCAACCTTATAATTTGAAACAATTTGTTTCCGCGGAACTTTCCCAAACCGGAAGTGTCAGGAATAAGGTGGATGGTGTTATGATTTTTTAGATGCATGTCTGTATCATTTATCATCCATATACTGCTTATCATTTCACTGCTACCAAAGTAATCATAATGAAGAATCAAGAATGGACACCAACCTGTTTGTTCCTCGGTATCTTCATGTTTTATTCTGGATGGTTCTGGATCACTCATGTCTTTAATCTCCTCTTTAATAAACTCCATCTTTAAGCACTTTCAAAACACTAGCGGATTAATGCCGAACTATGTAAATTAGGAACATCTCTAACATGCAGACTGAAATATACGGCATCCGTCAAAAATAGCCCGCATTCGTCTTTTATTTGTGTGTGGTTGTTTACATTAATGACGTTCATCTCGAACTGTTCGCGGATCTGTCTCTCTTCTGCGCATGCTCAGTTAGTGCGTGCATTGTTGTCATGGCTTCTTAAAGGGGGCGCATATTTTATAAATCACATCGCTGCACTAATAAGCGATTAATACATTTTCATCATAAAAATCAGACAGGCTAGTCACCTCTACTCTACGTTAAAATGCTTTACATCCTAACTTGGGTGTCTTCATGTTACATCTATACGTTACATGTATAATTGCATTGTTTTGGCTCACAACACATTTAACACGATATTATTTTACTTTGTATTATTCCTGTTTTAAGAAAAAATACAAGAAAACATATTTTTAAATCTATGATCATTGAAAAAAGTGAACACAACACAAATCAGCTTTCACGGTTCCAGACAGAGTAAAACTCTTGTCACAATAGATATGTTTCCATCCAAAGTTGTGAATTTAACTAACAAAATCGTTATATCGCATAAAAACATTTGCGAATAAAACACAGTTTCCATCCAGCGAGGTGAAGAGAATAAATTCATCACTACCTCATGGGCGTCAGTTTGGTCTGAGATGTGCTGGGGACAGAGACGCATTCAGAAGTGCATTTTCAGAAGTGCTGGGTACAATGACGCATTCATTTTTTCTTCTCTTTCGCGCAGGTCATGTTTTGAAAGACGTTGTCCTGTAGCTTACAAATGTAAATAAATAAAAATGTATACAAAAATGTGATGATGTCCGACTCGTTTTATGAAGAAGAAAGCCTTAAGTTTTCAAAAAGCATCAGACATGACCCACTATTCTGCTTCATAAGTAGGCTACCATGTTGACAATTTGACATGACGTGGTTTAATGTACCTAAACAACTATCACCAAATTTCTCGCTTATATTGCTCCTCATTACCACTGAAAATGGTCCAAAAAAAAATCGAATCCAAGTCCAATTATTATGGACGTTATCTGACATTAAGCGTTTCTGCTTCATTTGAGGCTATTGTAGGAAAAAGCTTTTCGGTTTAATGTACCTAAACGACAATCAGTGATCACCACATTTCTGGTTAGATTTTTTGACAGTTTTAAGTGGTTATGATGAGCAATGTGAGAGAGATATTTGGAGATCGTTGTTTAGGTACATTAAACCACGTAAAGCTTTTTTAAGTTAAGTGTTTTAGAGTGTCGCAATGAAAATAGGCCTGGCCTAACGGTGAACGTGATTTCCCCAAGTACCACATGTTCCTGGATCAACATCTTTGTTGATCCTGGATCAACTTTCCAATCAACCAATCAGATTTGAGGGACAAGTTTACAGTTTATGTCAAGTTTAGGCTTAGAACAAGAGTGAAGTACTTAAACATCAGTGTTATTCATCTATCATTAGATCTGATTTTAGGGAAAAGTTATGGGTAGGGTTAGGTTTAGGGGTAAGGATTGGGTAAGGACTACATTTTGGGACAGGAATGTTGATCCAGGACCATGTCTTAGTTGGCAAAATCACGTTCACCCTGGCCTACCATAGGCTACATGTTGAAGTTCAGTGGGGAAATGTGTGGCTATGCCTTTTTGCTAACATTTTGATTTAATTCCAAGTACAATTGACCATATCTACACACAACACAAATTCTGCACTACAAATTTTGCCAAGATTGAAAAAGCAAAAATATGTGTAGGACAGATGACCGCTCTATGATGACTGACATCACCCAATCATGTGCGATTCAAGTAACAAGAACAAGATAAAAAGTTCCATACAGTTTATATAGTCTAAATTTTGTCATAAACAACTTTTTCAATCTAGCATGCCGCTGATGTCACTGCAGTGCACACTAAACCCTTCCATCAATATTTCAACTTTCGACAATGCTTTTTAATATGAACCGTTAGACTGCTTGGGTGGCTGAATCTCCTCCCACACTCAGTGCACTGAGGTTTCTCTCCAGTATGATTTCTTTGGTGCAATTTCAGCTGGAAAGATGTAGTGAAGCTCCTTCCACAGTCCAAACACACATGATCTTTCTCGCCGGTGTGTGTTTTCTGGTGCAGTTTAAAACCGTCCAGCCGTGAAAAACTCTTTCCACAGAGAGAACACACATAAGGCTTCTCGTCTGAATGAACTTTCAGGTGTGATTTTAGATGTGGTGACGAAATAAAATCTTTGCCACACTGATCACACTTGAATGGTCTTTCTCCAGAGTGAATACGCAGATGATGAGTGAGAGTTGATGCGCCGGTGAAACTCTTTCCACACTGAGTGCATGTATACGGTTTCTCTCCAGTGTGAATTCTCATGTGTTTGCGAAGGTGTCCTTTCTGTTTGAATCTCTTTCCACACTGAGGACAGGTGTGCGGTTTCTCTCCAGTGTGAACTCTTAAGTGAGCCTCAAGTTTGCTTCTATGTGTGAAACTCTTTCCACACTCTGGGCAAGTGAACAGTGTCTCTCCATGGTGAATTTGTATGTGACTATTAAGGTGTTCCTTTACTTCGAAAGTCTTTTCACAATGACGGCATGAGTGCAGGTTCTCATGAACTCTTAGGTGTCTCTTAAGTCTGTTACTAAGTATGAAACTCTTTCCACACTGAGGACAGGTGTACGGTTTCTCTCCTGTGTGAACTCTTAAGTGAACCTCGAGTTTGCTTCTATGTGCGAAAGTCTTTCCACACTGCGGGCAAGTGAAAAGCGTTTCTACAGGGTGAATTCTTTTATGACTATTAAGGCGTTTCTTTACTTCAAAACTCTTGTCACAGTGACGGCGTGTGAAAAACTTTTTGGCTTTTGTTCTTCGAGTTATTTTTCTTGAGACCTTTTCTTCAGTCTCTGAGTGATTTGGTGATTCTCCTCCAGTTGAAAGACTTCTGACACTCTCCATTCAGTTCTTCACTTTCCTCTTTCACCTCCATTAGATCTACATAAAATAACATATGATTGAAAATCAAATCAAGAGAGAGAAGAGTTCTGGATAACTGTGCAAATTATGATCTTTGTGTCATGCAAAGGTCTAAAAGTCCAAATCTTTGAAAATGAAAAATAATAATTATTTTGTTTAGATAGTTTTAGATAGTCTTCGATTTTTTGTTTTATTTTGTAAAAATCACCCTTACACAAATTGAGGCCTTAAAAAGGTCTTAAATCAGAGCAGAAAGTCTTAAATTCATAAAGTCATGGCATTAAATGTTGCATGCATTGCAAAACAAAACAAAAATACAAAAAAATCGTACAGTATTTTGTCCTATTTTCCTATACAAATAATATCTAAACATCTTTAAACTGAGATTTACTTGAGATGCGAATGTAAAAATGAAGTCTTGAAGAAAATGAAGTGAGTTTATGCTTAAAACAACAACAAATATATCTCTCAGAGTTATTACATTTTCCTTTTGAAATAAGTTAATTATCTGAGGCCATCGGCATTTATTTGGTCTTGTTTTAATCATAAACTCACTTAATTTAGATCAATTTAATTGTGAAATTGACTCTTTTTATTTGCAGTAAATGCATCTTGATTTAAGAATCTTTATATATTTGCACTTGGAAAACAAGACAAAATACTGAGGAAAAACATCATTTTTTCTTCTGTGTGATCAGAGGATATACATTAAAAGATATTTTAATATTCTAGATTTTGAGAGCAGAGGAAGTGAAGCTACTTTTGCTTTTAAAAATTAATTGAAGAATAAGTGAAAGTGTTTCTAATAAAGCATTGTGTTTCTCCCTAAACATTTACATTTAGAGCCCATACTGAAGTGTTGTTTTGCCTTCAATTTATTCCTTACATTTTCTTTACTTGGTTTTAAAAAGGTCTTAAATTAACTTCATTTTCTTGTCTGTCATTAAATCTCATTTTATTTAAAACATATTTCACTCACATGAATACAAACCCAAACAAATAGACACTGGAAATAAATATAAAAAACCTGCATTATACAAACTATAAATACAGATTTTGTTTTTCAACAACAAACAAATACATCGTTTGTCTCCATTAAACAATTACCTAAACTTTTTCATTGTAGGCTATATTAATGTAATGAATCTTGTTAAAATAATAACATAGATTCCTCTGCAATATAAACATATCATAGGCAATTTAAGTTAACTAAACATGTTTACCATTAAAATAAATCATCCAGACGTACTGTCATCGCATAGCTTAATATTTATAATAAGAAACGTCAGTTACAACAGTTACAAACAAAGACATTAAACTCACACGATACTCCGCCGTGAAGCAGCCGTCTTACTGTCGTAAACCTCTGCCGTAACGCGCCTGCTCGTGTCGCATCGAGGAGGAAATGTGTTACTCGCTTGTCTTCCTCAAGGTGGCGCTAAACGCCATGGAGACGTTTGGGTCATAGACAAATAAAGCTTCCAAATATGTGTTTTAAAAAAAAAAAAACTCGGAAATAACAAGCTCATTATCAACTAATGAACACAGCACATTACCACAGTACCACTCAATCAAAAAAAAATATTCAATGTAGGCCTACTCTATTAGTTTATACAAGTATTATGGAAACTCCACAAGAATATAGCCTATGTGAATTCAGAAAGGAATCAGCAATAGATCTAACAATTGTTTCAAATACATTAGAAGGAATAATAAATTGGGAAGTATTAAATAAATTGTTGGTTGGAAGTGATCATTTTTGTAAATAATGAGAAGGAGGGGAAAACAAGGAATAGGAAAATGGAAGTTTGAGGAAGCTAATTGGGGAAAATACAAAATTATGAGTGAGAATGGAATGAAAATGACAAAGATTAACGAAGGGAAAGATACTGAAAGAATAAATATTAGTTTAAGTGATAGAGAATGCTTATTAGGCCTATTATTAATAGGAAAGTCGTTGTTTGCAGATGATGGAGCCCTTTGGATTAGAGAAAGACATGTGGATTATATTGTTAATAAAAATGCAATCAGCTTTAAATAATGTTGGGAATTGCCTTATAAATGTGAGTTGAAATTATAGAGGAGCCCACGTTTGTTTTCTTTACAAATAAAAAGGCAAGCAGGGATATAAACCTAAAATTATATAATGAGGAATTAGAACAAGTTAAAGTGATACGATTTATTTTAATGTGGTTTGATATGAAAATTGCACTGAGTACTAAATAAGAAATAAGATCAAATGGGGTCTCAATAAATCAATGTTTGGTTGTGGTAAGAGAGGTATTGGTTATCAGGAAAGAAAAAAACAGAATTACAGAAGAAATGAGAACAGCAATTAATTTTAATGAAGCTTTTGAATCCAGTAAGAGGGCATGGTATTAATACAATTTCTGAATAGAACTCGATTAATTGAAAGAATAAAAGGTTTTTTGATCAGGTAAGAGAGGGAAAAGAGTTTCTGATTCATAACCCACAGTAGATGGCGGTAATGCTCTATTTGAGAATGCAAGCCTCCAATAAAAACAAGAAGAGGAAGATGAAGAAGATCGCAGTGCTTCCATGTAGGGGTAGAAGCAAGGGGGTAATCCATCGACCGGAAGTTGAAGCCGGCCGGGAGCCGCCATGTTGTAGCAGAACTTCACTTGCGTTAGCATTTCCATTGACTCCCATTCATTTTTGCGTCACTTTGACAGCGAATAACTTTAGATCTGAGGCGTTTAAAGACTCCATTTGTCCATTATTTATTTCTAAAGAAACACGACAATGTATAAAGGGCTCCATTACCTTCTATGTTACAGTATGGCCCCGTAGAAACAGATTTAGTAAAAATAGGCTAACGATTGCGTCATAACCACTCGACTCTCTGTCGCGCTGTACAGAAGTTACCGTACAGACAGCAGGAGAAGCTCGCAGGCAATCGGGGGGACGTCCCGTCAAGGGAGAAGCCCATAGATAATGAGTCCATAAAAGCAACGGAATTCTTAGTCCTGCTCACTCACGCCAAAGAACTCTTTGCTCAAGTTCCCCGTCTCTGCAAGATTAACGTTGGCAGTTTTCACGCACAGCTACTAGAAGATTTACGTCTGTCAGACAGGTTGCTCACGTCATCAAGCTTAGTTTGAGTCGGTTTGAGTCTGCGCGTCAGGAACGGAAGTGCTCAAAAATCGCTAAAAGTGGGCTTCAACTGTCTCAACTGAGTTCCAATGAGATCGCTCTGTCCATTTCTTTTACTTTCTATGGGTAGAAGGTAATGAAGATGCTGATATGCTGGCAAAACAAGCACTCAAATCAAAGTCGGTTGATATACAGGTTCTGCTAAGTAAATCTGAAGCTAAAAAGGTCATTAAAGAGAAAATGCAAAAAATATGGCAAGAATACTGGGAACTAAATGAAACTGGAAGACATCTTTATAATATACAGAAACATGTTGGTCTGGGAAGAAAACTGGGTGCCGGAAGACAGAGACAGTCTTTACGCGCTTAAGAATAGGACACACAGGTCTTAATTATTCACTTTATAAAATAGGTAAACACCCAACTGGACAATGTATAAAAATGTAATAGTATAGAGACCATTCAACATGTGCTGTTTGAGTGTAGAGGTTATGTGGAGGCAAGGAGGAAACTAGCAGCAGCTGTAAAGAAAGTTAAGCTTAGGTTCACTGTTGAGAATCTACTTGGGTATAAAGCATGGGGAATATCAAAACACCTCATTAAATATCTGAAAAATACGGGGTTAATGGAAAGAATATATATATATATATATATATATATATATATATATATATATATATATATATATTTTAGGGGGGTTTTATGTAGCCTGGTTCTACCAGACTCTCGTACATTTCATTTGTATTACTGAAGGAAAATGAAATTGAGCGGAAGTGCGTAGGAGGGCGGAGCCAGGCTAGGTTTTATGTTAGTTTGCACAAAATCTGTTCCAGTCCAGCCCGGTAGGTGGCGGTAATGCTCCTAAATGCTGGTTGCCAACCGCCAATCAAATCAAAGAAGAAGAAGAAGATCGCAGTGCTGAACGTTTGAAGCTATGGTTTGAAGACCAGTTTCAAGTTTATAATAATCGACGAGGTTGAATGAAGGACAGATGTGGAGTTTTCACGCTGTATGCTGGCTATTTTCAGTCTACATGTTTGCACACGTAAGAGACGTTTTTTCCCCCGAAATATCTGTTTATATTGTACGGTGGCGCATTGCTGCCAGCCACTATTGTTTTCCCACTCAATTATGTCATGATAACGAGATATTACGTCGTTTTAACTACATATTTTCTCGTAATAACTAGATTATGTCGTTAAAACGACACAACATATACAATTTAGGGATACGCAATAAAACTATAAATATACATAACTAATTATAATATGTTTATTACCCCCACCCACCCACTAACTTTGAGTTTAATCGCTGTTATGGGCTCAGGGGTCCTTGGGAAAATGTTCTACCTTAGTCCATGGCCACAAAATGTTTGAAAATTTGGTTTAGATAGATGAAGTAGGCTTTCTGTGACCTGTACATCAGTAAATCACAACAATACGCTGTAATGGACACTGATACAGGCTGCAGAAGTTATTTTACGTATTTGCGATTACTTCTGTTAAGTGCGATAAAGGCACGATATGCTTTATAAATTCTCAAATGTGGATTAAGGCATATTAGACATCACTGTACAAAACATGCCCTTATTACGAGAAAATATGTAGTTTTAAAGAGAATTTTTTTTTCATTTTAACAAAAGATCTCGTTATTACGAGAAAAGATGTTTTAACGACATAATATCTAGTTATTACGAGAAAATATGTTGTATAACGACAAAACATCTAGTTATTATGAGATAAAAATATTGTTAAAATTACATATCATCATCTCGTTATTACGACATAATTGAGTGGAGAAATAATATGAATGTGGCACCAATGCGCAACCGTAATATTGTGTATGAAATCATAGGCGATTCAGCGTCTTGCAAACACTTTCACAGAAAGAATCAACTCAAAAGAACGATGCTTCGAATCACTGATTCAGTAGATAGAAATACGGGACATACAACTGCTGAAATGTTCCCTTGGAAAGCGTTTCTACGTTTAGTTGAAATGTTAATTTAAGAATTTAATATGTGTCGATTTATCCATATTTAACATCCTGTGTTACAGATTAGGTTGTTTTTTATAGGTCTGTTTTATATAGTATACAAACTTGTCAAAACACTGTATTTCTAACAGGAAATATGCTCACTTCATTATATATTTAGTATCTTGATTTTAATTTTTCCAGATCTGGTCCTGTGGGCGTTAGTCACACAGTGATCACAGTTCACACCTGCAGTGAAGCCCCTCCCACAACAATTCACCAATAAATACTGGGAATATTCCCATCATCCTACAAGAGAAGGACAAACTCCAGGAGTAGCAGCTGAAATCTGTGTGACTGTTAAAGATGGAGTTTATTAAAGAGGAGATTGAAGACATGAGTGATCCAGAACCATCCAGAATAAAATATGAAGATGCTGAGCAACAAACAGGTTGGTGTCCATTCTTGATTCTTCATTATTGACTGCTGAGAAAAATTAAGGTAACAAATCTTCAGTTCAACACATTGGATGATAAATGATACAGAAAATCCATCTAAATGGTCAAAGGGTCATTCCATGTCAAATCAACCAAATTTCAGAAGCTCCCCTTGTGCAAATTTTTGATTTTTGATTTTTTTTCTGAAGAAAGACAAACAAAAATATTGATGAGAGCCAAAATATCAAATTTCACAGATGTATATTGAGTGTCTAGGGGAATATAGTTGGTCATAACTATAATAGAAAACATAATAGATTCACTGTATAAGGTGAAAAAAGTGTTGAATAAAAAAACCCTCTCATTTCATTACTGTAAAATAAAAAAATAAATAAAAATTGAGTTTTGAAAATTAAAAAAAAATTCAAATATGCCTGTTCAAATATGCGGCATGGACTTGCCCCACCTCCATTGAGTTTATAAAACAGAGAACAGATTGTGGTATTGGTACCAGGTCTGACATTAGAGAGGATTGTGAAGTGCCATATAGGCAAACATCTTTTGGTCAAAGTAGTATCTGTAATAGGGAGCAAATATTGGAATAGTTTACCGCAATCAATAAGACAATGTTCTACTAATCACACTTCATCTCAAGATCATCTGAAGAGGTGCCTTATGACGAATCAGGTGTGTGTCAACACGAATCAACATTTTTTTTTTGAAATTGTAATAATGTGTTTGGGGTATTGTCTCTTTGTAGTGTTGTCTGTATAGCTGAGTATTTGTGTGTACCTGCCTAGGGACTGCGGATGTAAATGAGCAATATTGCTATAATTTGGCTTGTTTACATTTGGTTGTTTATGTTAATGAACATTTGTATAAAATAATACAAAAAAAGCTCTTTTCTTGGTATGGAGCTGGACTGGGACATGTCTGGTCAGTGTTGAAATGCTTGAATACACTCAAGAGCAGAACAGCGGCCCCACTGAAACTTTATCAGAGGCTCCTGGGGCATATAGCATCCACAGCCGCAGTAATGCCGCTCGGATTGCTTCATATGAGACTGCTTCAGCACTGGCTTCACGGCCCAGTCCCGAGATGGGTATGGCAGAGTGCCACGCTCTGTGTGACAATCACACTGGCCTGCTGCCAAACCCTCAGCCCGTGGTCAGACCCTTCGTTCTCTGGGCAGGAGTGCCCCTAGAGCAGTGTTCGGCAACAGGCGGCAGATAATATCTGGCCCGCGCTCGCAGCCAGATAGTTTTGATAGCGGCTGGTTCTGAAATAAATCTGATATGACAGCAACAGTTACTCACAATCACTCACAAAGTTCTGAAAGACATTCAAAAGAGTCTGGATCGCTAGACACACCTCTCAAATAGCCATCATGAAATGTCTAATATTATATTCTTTGCAAACAGCAACCATTTCTTTTCAGATAAGACACAAAACTAGGTAGGATGAACACATAGTTGTCTTTCCATTCTTTTTTGTATGGCCTATTTTCTCTGTCAACTTTCCTCTTTAGACTCTTTGATAGGGGTGTAACGGTACATGTATTCGTATTGAACCGTTTCGGTTCGAGGCTTCCGGTTCGAGGCTTCCGGTTCGGTACGCATACAAACCGAACGATTCCTTGGACCATTTTTCCTGCCGACAAAATTCGCGCTGGCGTTGCGCAACATCAAATGGCAAGCGTAATGAAAGCGGAACGAAACTGCGGTACTCATTATGTGCTTCTCGGACCGTTTATCAGTTCGGACCAGCAACATCTGTGCAGCGCGAGCCGATCTTGATCAAGCGACACTGTTACAACACAGCGCTAAGAGATCCGGTGAAGAAAACATTTGAATTTGCCACTGAAGTAATAACATCGCTGCGAGATCTAGTGAGAACGAAGCATTCACATTTCTCCGTTATTAACCGTAGATCTCTATTAGATCAAACAGCGCTGACGTGGACACCAGGACAGGAGAAATATTGTGCCGTGAATGAACTAGTAATACTTTACGTCCACAGACCAGCAACATTGACCATGGATTTAATATAGTAACACTAACTGTAACCAGTTTGGCTGGAATAGTGAAATGCTTTCAAGTACTTCACACATCTTTTTCCAGCACTTCAAAACTCAAATATTATATAAATTAATATATGAAGAGTTCAGATGCAAAAGCCTCTAAGTGCCATTTGAAATTTTCTTCTAGAATGATCATTTTTATGAAGCTTGTATATTTAAGTTCAGTAATTTCACACAAATGACAATTAATAGGTAATCTTCATTGCCATTTAAGTGAAATTACTGAACTTAAATATACATTATACAAGCTTGATAAAAATGATCATTCTAGAAGAAAATTTCAAATGGCTTTTGCATCTGAACTCTTCATATATTTAAATGTTATTTTTAATGTGATGACCAAAACATTATTTGTTCATCCTTCAAAGATGACACCCATTTATAAACCTGAAAGTTTCAAGATGTAGGAAAACTCACACTTATTTAAAAAATATTTTTTCTTTTAATAGGGAATTTCTCTGGCATTTCTTACTTTTTGCTGTATCGAAAACGTACCGAACCGTGACCTTAAAACCGAGGTACGTACCGAACCGTGATTTTTGTGTACCGTTACACCCCTACTCTTTGATAGTGCCATTTTCCAGCTTAATTGTAAAGATCACACTGCACTCGATGCAATAGCGTACCTCCAGCATGCAAACAATTTAAAAAAAAAAACATTTACGATTGGCTATTGCATACAGTTAGGATTGGCGGTATGGTTATGTTCTGGGCAAGAACTCCCTGCACATCCATCCAGCCTAGCATGGATAAGAGCAGGGAGAGCAGCAATAACCCCCCAAAACAAAACCATATGCCAAAATCCCCCAACACAAACTGACAGTGAATTTTCTGGATGCCTTTTTTATAACGCTATACCTTCAATACGACTGATGCTGATAGAATGGTTAATACATCCTGATGTTAGTGGCATATTTTAGCGCTATAGATCCAATATTATGGGGGAAGCATCACCCCAAGCTGGAGCAAGCAAGGACACATTGCAACAAGCGTGTTGCTGTAGCCAATTTAACAGTGTATGGGATCAATTGAGGAAAGCTTACAACCCTCGCAAAACTATTGCTAAAACTAGCGTAGTTTGGCAAGGGAATCATACACCCTACAGCAATAGCTCTGACTAGCAGCAACAAACTTATACAACAGCATGTTATATAACCAGAAGACTAGTATTAAAACTAGTGTAGTCTTGTCGGGGATGCATATACCATGTAGCTCTGAGTCATATGCAGTGGGCAGCTAAGCAATTAAGTACAGTGTGCTTCCTCATTCATGAAAATGATTTCTGCTCCCGTCGTAGTGAATTCCATTGGTTGTGGAGGTGGAGATGATGACTCCCATGAGTCCACACTTATTCACGGGATCATCAAGATATGAATTTGTTAGTGTTGAATGACAGCCCTCTGCTGTGAACATACCTAATGTGTATTTTGCACAAATCTAGATCAGCTTTAGCCACAAGCATGTGCTAACTTTACCAGCATGTTGTAATAATCGAATAGAATAAAGAATGAGCATGTTTCCAATAGCAACCAGATAGCCTTTAGAAGCAAGCATATTTCCAATACACTATAGCTTTAAGAACGCCGTGTTTCCAAGAACTAGATTTCCAAGAACAAGCATGTCAGATACCCGGCAGAATCAACGCTGAACTGACTCACATTTACATTTACATTTAGTCATTTAGCAGACGCTTTTATCCAAAGCGACTTACATCTGAGGACTAACCAAACGAGTCATCGTGAAGAGACAATAGCAGCCCAAGAAGTGCTCAAAATACAGAGTTCAAACATTGCTCAGAGTAGCATAAACCAGACAAGTGAGGATTTAAAGTTTTTTTTTTTTTTTTTTTAAGTTAAGTGCTCACGGAAGAGATGAGTTTTCAGTTGTCTTTTAAATGCTGTCAGGGATTCTGCATTCCGGATGAGGGTGGGCAGATTATTCCACCAGCATGGAACCGTGAATGAGAATGTTCTGGAGAGTGATTTTGTGGCTCTTTGTGAAGGTACCACGAGCCGTCGCTCATTGACTGATCGTAGGCTTCTGGTAGGGATGTAGACTCGTAGGAGCGAGTGAAAGTAGGAGGGAGCTGAGCCTGTGGTCAATCTGTAAGCAAGTGTCAATGCCTTGAAATTGATGCGAGCAGCAAGTGGTAGCCAGTGCAGGGAGATGAACAGAGGAGTGACGTGGGCCCTTTTGGGCTCGTTGAAGATAAAACGAGCAGCAGCATTCTGGATCATTTGTAGAGGTTTAGTTGCACATGATGGAAGTCCAGCCAGAAGAGCATTGCAGTAATCAAGCCTGGAGATAACCAGGGCCTGGACAAGAAGTTGTGTTGCATGCTCAGTTAGGAAAGGCCTGATCTTCGTGATGTTGTGCATTGCAAACCTGCATGATCGAGCTGTCTTTGTAATGTGGTCTGTGAAGGTCAGCTGGTCATCAAAGATTACACCAAGATTTCTGACCGACTTTGATGGGGTGATTGAGGAAGAATCTAGCTGGATAGTGAAGTCGTGCTGTGGAGACAGATTAGCAGGGAGGACGAGAAGCTCAGTTTTTGTCAGGTTGAGCTGCAGGTGATGTTCCTTCATCCATGCCGAGATGTCCGCCAGACAGCTTGAGATTCGAGCAGCTACTGTGGGATCATCTGGTTGAAATGAGAGGTAGAGCTGAGTGTCATCAGCATAGCAATGGTAAGAGAAACCATGTGCCTGTATGATGGGTCCCAGTGATGTGGTGTAAATGGAGAAGAGGAGTGGTCCAAGCACTGAACCCTGGGGAACCCCTGTGGTCAGTTGATGTGCTTTGGATACCTCGCCTCTCCATGCGACCCTGAAGGACCTACCTGTGAGATAGGACTCAAACCAGTGGAGGGCAGTTCCAGTGATGCCCAGTGATGAGAGAGTGGACAGAAGGATCTGATGATTCACAGTGTCGAAGGCAGCAGAGAGGTCCAGGAGGATGAGAACTGATGATTTGGAAGCAGCTTTTGCGATCCGCAGAGCTTCTGTGACCGATAGTAATGCGGTCTCGGTTGAATGCCCTTTCTTGAAGCCAGATTGGTTGACATCCAGCTGGTTGTTCAGAGACAGGAAAGATGATACTTGGTTGAAAGCAACTCGTTCAAGTGTTTTCGCAATGAATGGTAGGAGAGAGATTGGTCTGTGATTCTCTAAGAGTGATGTGTTTAATGTTGGTTTTTTAAGCAGTGGAGTTACCCGAGCCTGCTTAAATGCTGTAGGAAAAGTGCCAGTGTGGAGGGATGAGTTGATGATGTGTGTTAGTGCTGGTAAAAGTGTGGGAGAGATGGCTTGTAGAAGGTGTGAGGGGATGGGGTCCAGAGGGCAGGTGGTAGGATGACTGGAGAGGATAAGTTTAGATACTACTTCCTCGGTTAGTGGAGTGAAGGAGGAGAGAAGGTTATTGGCTGTGGGAGTGGTTGGTCTAGGTTCCTGTGTGTGTGGATTAGAGAACTGACTGCTGATAGTTGTTGTTTTGTTAGTGAAGAAGTTAGCAAAGTCATCAGCAGTTAGTGAGGAGGTGGGTGGTGGTGGTGGTGGTGGACAGAGGAGAGAGTTGAATGTCTTGAAAAGTGTTCGTGTGTTAGGGGCGGTGTTGATCTTGTTGTGAAGGTATGAAGATTTTGCAGCGTGAACATCAACAGAAAAAGCAGAGAGCAGAGATTGATACATACTCAGGTCAGATGTATCATTCGATTTGCGCCATTTTCTCTCCGCTGCTCTGAGTTTGGTCCGGTGTTCACGAAGAACCTCAGATAACCACGGGTTAGAGTCAACTGAATAGTGACTGTTTACTATCTTTTTAGAGCTGTGCCACAGCAGAAATGATTCCGTTTACACTATGAATAGTTATTTCCTAACTATCACCGCAAGCTGCTTGAATCTGTGCTGCACAGCATTTGCAACAGGAGCAGTTGACAATGACTAAAGAGCCAATGACAGCAGATAAGTAACGCACATAGCCAATATGATCGCATAAGCCTAGCAAACGAACTTGAATGAAATATATATATATATATATATATATATATATATATATAATATGTATATGTATACAGTGATAGTCGTCGTATTCCTATAGGTAGACGTGGATCAGCTTGACCAACGTGACCTGTCAGAAATGACGCAACACTTCATTTTTTATCAATTAATTTCTTAAATTATCCTTTGACTATGTTTTGGCACGCCATCTAGTGGCAAACTTTTTTTTTGGCCTGATGCCAAACTTACTTGCTGACCCCTGTCCTAGAGCAAGAGTCCAGGCATACTGTGGTCCATGGATGCCTCCATCACCGGTTTGGGGGCCACGTACAAGAGCCAAGCTGGTACTGGTCTGTACGGACAACACTGCGACTGTTGCATGCATCAACCATCAAGCTGGTCTTCGCTGTCGCCGCATGTCGCAGCTCGCCTGCCATCTCCTCCTATGAATCCCCCGGGCGAGTGTAAGCTCCATACCTAGGCGTCATCAGGAGGAGCTGAGATGGTACCACTTCGGATCCACACAGGTAGACCTGTTCTCTCTCCGGACTCTTCCGACTGGCTATTGTTTTATTCCCATGCCCTCTGCATGGATGCGCTGTCACACAGATAGTCCCGGGGCCTACACAAGTATGCGTTTCCCCCAGTGAGCCTTCTCGCACAGACACTTTGCCAAGTCAGGAAGGAAGAGGAGTAGGTCTTGCAAGTTGCCCCTTATTGGCCCAACCGGACCTGGTTCCCAGAACTCATGGTACTCTCGAAGCCCCTACTTGACCCAAGGATCTGCTTTCTCAGAGACGGGGCACCATATGACACCCGCGTCCAGACCTCTGGAAACTCCATATCTAGCCTCTGGACGGGACACGGCGGACTTAGGTGATTTACCACAAGCAGTCGTAGACACCATCACTTCTGCTAGAGAGCCCTCTTCAAGGCACTTTTACGCTCTGAAGTGGAACCTGCCCTATCAGTCTCTGTCTAAAAATCAAATAACGATGCTGCCATCTTTCTGAAGTCATTTTTACACCCCTGTAATTAGGCTCCAAATCTCAGGTGAAAATTATCATTTTGACCCCCCTCTGCAAATCAGTGGATTACACAGTCAATATACATTCATGACATTTATTATTTTGACTTCTTTTATGTATTTCTTTCACCAATTTTAAAAAAATCCAAATTAAGCCGGTGACCTCTGGTTGAGTTGACATGGAATTACCTCATAATCTTGAATACCTTTTGTCATCTAAATTTTAAATGGATTAACGAGAATGACAGAACTTAAATTTGGCACATCAAAGATCTGATACTTTATACTCTGTTGCTTTCTTCTTTTAAATCAGAATACAATTTAACTTATTTTAACAACATAATGTTTTTATTTTAGAGTGGATGGAGATTAAACCTGAAAAACATGAACTTAATGAAACAGAGGAGGAACAGCATAGCATCAAAGCTAATAAGCTTTACACCTGCCCTCAGTGTGGAAAGAGTTTCAGACAAAAAGGACACCTTAAAATACACATAAGAATTCATACCGGAGAGAAACCATTTACATGTGATCAGTGTGGTAAAGATTTTATTTCGTCATCACATCTAATCAAACACCTGAAAGTTCATGCAGATGAGAAGCCGTACGTGTGTTCTCTCTGTGGAAAGAGTTTTTCAAGGCTGGATCATTTTAAACTACACCAGAAAACACATAATGAAGTGAGAGATCATGTGTGTTGTGACTGTGGTAAGAGCTTTACAAGAGCTGACCAACTGAGACAGCACCAAAGTTTTCATACCGGAGAGAATCCTTACAAGTGCTCATCTTGTGACAAGAGTTTCAATCGGTCAGAGCACCTGAAATCACACGAGCGACTTCATACTGGAGAGAAGCCTTACCAGTGTACTCAGTGTGAGAAGAGTTTCAGAGATGCAACCGGTTTAAAAAGTCATCTGCGCGTTCACTCTGGAGAAAAACATTTTAACTGTGATCAGTGTGGTAAAGAGTTTATTTCGTCATCAAATCTAAATCAACACCTGAAAGTTCATTCAGAAGAGAGGCATTATGTGTGTTCTCTCTGTGGAAAGAGTTTTTCTCGACTGGATCATTTTAAACTGCATCAGAAAACACATAATGAAGTGAGAGATCATTTGTGTTGTGACTGTGGGAAGAGCTTTACTAGAGCTGACAATCTGAATCGGCACCAAAGAATTCATACTGGAGATAATCCTTACAAGTGCTCATATTGTGACAAGAGTTTCATTCGCTCCAGATCTCTGAAATCACACGAGCGAATTCATACTGGAGTGAAAACTGTACCACTGCCCTCCATGGGAGAAGAGTTTTAAAAGTTTATCAAGCCTTCACATTTGCAAAAACTAGAAACACTTGAGATTTTAATCTTCACCAGTCAAGAAGGGGGAGGGGTAATGTCAGGGTTTAGTTCTGTTTTGTCTTTGTTTTCATTGTGTTCACCTTCTGTTTGCTCATCTTCAGTTGACACAGCTTTCCCATATGGTTCTTTGTTTCATTCACCTGTTGCTCCATAATTAGTCTTGTGTATGTACAGACTGATCTCATGAAATGTCGTATGTATGACACGGCAATTCGTATTTCCATTTTTGGCGTGCTATCAACACGCATAATCGCTTTTCAGTGTGTTTATCAACGCCGTTGACTTAACGTTACATTACTGTATATATAAATATATGACCTACCCCAACAACCCCGTCCCTCAGGGGCGGAGTGGGACCAAAAAATCTACCGGGACATTTCGTAGACCACCGGCCCTCGTCGCCGGCAGGGCCGGATTAAGAGTTCAGAGGCCCCTGGGCACAATGTCTTGTAGGTCCCCTCTTAGGCAGGCCAAATGTATATTTTGTCCAAAGACATTTTAATATGGCATTTACAGTTTTACTGACTTAAAAGGAACTTTGTTGTACTATGCTGGAGTAAAGTTCATGGTGGTTCTTTCACATAAGATTTTGTAAAACTATGTTGGGTGGACCTCTGTCCCTCTAGGGGGGTTCGGGGGCATGCTCCCCCGTAAGAACATTTTGTACATTTTAAGGTTAAAGGCATCATCTGGTGCTCTTTGAGAGGTCAAAATTAAGAGCTTCAACCCATGAACTGCTCATTGAACAAAGAAAAAGCATTGACTTGTACCGGGACATTAAAGAGGGCTCAAACATCTTTTTAGTTATGAGAGTCTCAGTCTACATTACATTATCAATGGTGTTTTAGGATGCCAAACAATTATTATAATAATGTAATAATGATTTATATAATTATTCCTATGACGTAAAAATGTGACGCCTATAAATGTAGGCTACTGTATAAATGAAAATGAATATTTCAAAAGTATATTTTACCCTGTTACACTAGTATAGGAAAATTAAAATACTTTTGTCCTAATTTCTTCACTTGCAAGAAATAAACCCTTGAGCTTTTATTTTGGAGAAAACACCAGATCACCATGCTGATCGCGTGAGCAAAGAGCGCACTTTTCTTTCAATCACGCAGCACAAACAGAATGCCCATATACTTAATTAAAGTCTTGTGCTGTTTTATAAAGGCACAAAGCCATATCATGGTTTCGATTTTAGTTCGTTGGCAAAATATAACGCTAGAGACCTTTATGGTATAGGCGGTACATTTTACATCTCATATGTGTTGGGAAAAGGGAGAAGAAAGAGTTCGGCAAAAGGCGGATTCGAACTCGGGTCGAGCGCATCAAAAGCTGTCCTCTAGCACTTCACGCCCTACGACCTACGCCACTGTAGCTATTCCGTCACGGCATCTTTTTGCTAAAAAGACAGGCACTTAGTGCAAATATACACTCCGTTATCGAAAATGTAAAAAAAACTTTTTTCCCCCCTCGCTCGGGCCCCAAGTGCGCATGGCGAACTTGCAATGTATAACTATTATCAGACCGGCCCTCGCGGCCTCGAAACACTACCGGCCCACGGTGTTGAGCAGAGACAGAGAGGCTGCACTGTGACAGTTTGACCAGCGGAAGCGGCCGCACATCAGGCCGCCAGATGGTATTGCTAATATAATATATTATCACTATAACTATTATCAGACCGGCCCTCACGGCCTCAAAACAATACCGGCCCACCGGGAAAAGTCCCGACTCTCCCGATTGCCACTCCGCTACTGCCGTCCCTAAACCTACCCGTCACTGGGGTTAATACCATTTATGAGTCTTCCCCTACCATCCTAGGAAAAAAATATCGCTCCCCAGATGTAGATCTACATTTTGCTTAGTTTCGCTCGTACATTTAATGGCGTAGACATACACGCAAAAGATGACGGTTCGTTTCGGCGTGGACATACACGCGTAGTGTTGTCAAAAATATCGATATTTCGATAAATATCGATACTGAAATATCTGAACGGTACCAATACTAATTTCCCGAAGTATCGATACTAGCCGAGCAGTCACTTTCACTTCTCTCCAAAGGCGCGTTGACAAACACCACACGTGACGCACTCGTCTCATTCGCTCTGGTTAAATAGCAAAAGTGAAGTGAATGGAAAGATGGCGAGGGCAGCGCCCCCGCGACCGGCTTTGGTTGATTGATAAAGAACACCGCGAGCGGGCATGTCGGAGAATAGCGCGGACACGCGTAAAAAACACACCGCGAGCGGGCATGTCGGAGTCGGAGAATAGCGTGGACACGCGCTACACACCGCGAGCGGGCATGTCGAAGAATAGCGCGGACACGCGTAAAAAACACACCGCGAGCGGGCATGTCGGAGAATAGCGCGGACACGCGTAAAAAACACACCGCGAGCGGGCATGTCGGAGTCGGAGAATAGCGTGGACACGCGCTACACACCGCGAGCGGGCATGTCGAAGAATAGCGCGAACACGCGTAAAAAACACACCGCGAGCGGGCATGTCGGAGTCGGAGAATAGCGTGGACACGCGCTACACACCGCGAGCGGGCATGTCGAAGAATAGCGCGGACACGCGTAAAAAACACACCGCGAGCGGGCATGTCGGAGAATAGCGCGGACACGCGTAAAAAACACACCGCGAGCGGGCATGTCGGAGTCGGAGAATAGCGTGGACACGCGCTACACACCGCGAGCGGGCATGTCGAAGAATAGCGCGAACACGCGTAAAAAACACACCGCGAGCGGGCATGTCGGAGTCGGAGAATAGCGTGGACACGCGCTACACACCGCAAGCGGGCATGTCGGAGAATAGCGCGGACACGAGTTACACACCGCGACCGGGCATGTCGGAGTCGGAGAATAGCGTGGACACGCGCTACACACCGCGAGCGGGCATGTCGGAGAATAGCGCGGACACGAGTTACACACCGCGAGCGGGCATGTCGGAGTCGGAGAATAGCGTGGACACGGGCTACACACCGCGAGCGGGCATGTCGGAGTCGGAGAATAGCGTGGACACGCGCTACACACCGCGAGCGGGCATGTCGGAGAATAGCGCGGACACGAGTTACACACCGCGAGCGGGCATGTCGGAGTCGGAGAATAGCGTGGACACGCGCTACACACCGCGAGCGGGCATGTCGGAGAATAGCGTGGACACGCGTAAAAAAAACACACCGCGAGCGGGCATGTCGGAGTCGGAGAATAGCGTGGACAAGCGCTACACAGTACACCGCGAGCGGGCATGTCGGAGAATAGCGCGGACACGCGAGCGGGCTCCGGGCACCCAACAGATTGTTTGACTATCAATAATCCCTCACATCACTAATTTTTTTTTAAATTATTGTATAGGTGAAAACAGACTTAAGGAACAGGCTCCAGGGCTACTATTTAGCAGCATATGCTCAGCATCAGGGGTGTTTGTTGTTTGGACAGACCTGCCCCCACTGCTAAAAAAAAACCTGCTAAAAAAAAACCTCAAGGAAACACTGTAACTCTTCTCATTTGAACTTTTCTGAAACATTAACCAAGATGGTTTATGTATTGTTGTTGATAAGAGTCTAATGTTAACATAATCTGACTGAGGAATCTTAGACAAGTAAATATTGTAACTGTGGTCAAATGTAAATTAACTGGTGCCTATTTAACTTTATTCAAAAATTATTTAATTCTGCAATTTTCCTTCATTAGCGATTATCGTCAATTTGATTACACAGATATTAATTAAACTAAACAGCTAGACAATGGCATCTCTGAATTCAATAATGACATGCCTTTAACTGAAAATTGAATGTTTAATCTTATTATTATACATTACTGACTCTCTATCCTCCAATTTGATACTGTTAAGTGCTTTTTTGTTACAGTATATTTTAATCTTTGATAACAGTAGGTAATTAAAATACATCATGTTAGCTCTGGTCCAATTAAAAAATATAAACAAATAGAACTCAGGACATTTTTGTTCATGTAAAATATACCTCATTGTCATGTTCTAGACTTGTTATATTTAGCTTTAAATTAAAAAAAATACCCCCTTAATATTGTGGCAGTTTTTTCTCCGTGGTATCGAAAATGGTATCGAATATCAATATTTTTCAAGGTATCGTATCGAAGTTAGAAATTCTAGTATCGTGACAACACTATACACGCGGATAGCACAAAATGCGTATAGATAACACGCCACTTGACTTGAAAGTGGCGTGTATGTTTACGCAAAGTCATGATGTCATGTTGGTATGTATGTATATATATACTCCTTATTTGGTTCAGTTCTTTTGTCTTGTCTCATCTATGAGGGATGGCTGTTTTTTGAGTTTCTCTGCCTGTTCTTTTGGATATTTCTTATTTCCTGGAATATTCCTTATTCGTGTGCTTTATTGATACAACCATTCCGTGACAATTATAATGATGTACCATCTAGGGTTTTCTGTATAGCTTACAGAATTAAGCCCAATTTATACTTCTGCGTCGAACTCACGCTGTAGCTACGCCGTAGGCTGTGTAGCATGTGTACCCTTCGGCGTACCCTGACGTTGACCTCTCCAAAAATATAACAACGCGTCAATTCTACGCAAATGCAAGCGCTGTGATTGGTCTAGAAACCCTCCCTCAGGGGGTTTCACATGTTCCCTCTGCGCGTCAACGCGGACAGCGACGCAGAAGTATAAATGAAAACCAATGCGTGGCCTACAGCGTAGACTAGAGGCTCTGGTGTAGGTCTGACTGACGCAGAAGTATAAATCAGCTTTTAGTTGAGAGATATTTTTTCCTTTGAGGAAATGTGCCATTTTCTGTAGCTGATAGGCCCAGAATTAATATCAAATTGACTTAAAGTCGAATTAAAAGCTTGTACTGTCAATAAATCTGTTATTTTTTATTGAAGAAAATGTTGTCTTTATTACTTAACTAATGTGTCAGATTGCACCAGAATCTTTACATGTTAAAATCACAACAATATTCTTTTTGGGGGGGGGGATCCCAAAACCCCCTAGAGAGATTTAATTTAAGAACATGTCATCGTTTTCACCTCTGGATTTGCAGGTGTAATTATTAATTAGTGTGTTATAATATGTTGGCAGAGAGTTTTTCACTGACTCTGTTTTAGCCTCTTGACACCAATAAAATGTGCTAATGTTCCACTTCACAGACATCACCATAATGAATGAGGTGAAAAGAGGGAACTATTAGAGGTTTTTCAGCAGCTCATTTAAACATGATTAAACTGTTATTTGCCTCAGACTTTGGGAAAGTATTAAACAAGCCTTGTTTTAAATGCTACTAATATCAAACCACATTAAAATATCCTATATTTCTAAAAGTTTTTAAAACAAATGTTCAAAATTTAATTGCAATGAAAGTAATTCAATGTAAATTTAATTGTTTATTTTCTTTTCTTTTACAAATTTTTCTCCCACAATAATTCACCAATAAATACTGGAAATATTCACATAATTTTTGTGTATTTTTGGCACTCAGAGTGAGATATTGTATGCAATTGTTTTGATAGAGGGAAACAAGATAGCCTACATTTCTAGTTATTCTTCAGACATTCTCGTTTAAACAAAATAATTATCCACTGTTTGAAAAGTTATACCAGTATTTGGTTTTCGACCACTGAAAATGGGTCAAATTCCACAATTTGAACATTGGGACCCACCAATCTCTGTGTAAAAACAAAATAATGATTTGCCATCTTTCTAAAGTCATTTTTACACCCCTCCACAAAATAGTGGATAACTCCATAAATATAAATCCATAACATTTATGTTAGGCTTTCTTCAAAAAAGGTTTTTTAACAATATAAAAAAACTTTTGCCGTAGAAGTTTGGTTGTTTTGATATGGATGACCCTATAGATCTCTTATATGATGATAATACACAACCTTGTCAAAAAACGATTTCTAACAGCAAATATGTTCACTTAACTATCAAGTAATTAAATTAGTTCAGTATAAATTCAGTAACTTTCCAATTCCAGATCTGGTCCTGTGGGCGTCAGTATCACACAGTTCACACCTGCAGTGAAGCCACAATTCACCAATAAATACTGGGAATATTCCCATCATCCTACAAGAGAAGGACAAACTCCAGGAGTAGCAGCTGAAATCTGTGTGACTGTTAAAGATGGAGTTCATTAAAGAGGAGATTGAAGACATGAGTGATCCAGAACCATCCAGAATAAAACATGAAGATACTGAGGAACAAATAGGTTGGTGTCCATTCTTGATTCTTCATTTTTGACTGCTTTGGTGGCTGTGAAATAATAAGTAGTATATTAATGATAAATGATTTAGAAATTCATCTAAATGATTTCTAACCTTGTATATAGCAATGTGTCAAATACATTTGAATTATTCAAATTCATGAGAATGATATAACAAACCTTCAACATCAAAGATCTGGGGCCTCATTTATAACCGTTGCGTTCACACAAAACAGGCCCTGAAAAAGGCGTACGCCACTTCCGACGCATAAGTTGTGATTTATAAAAACAAACTTGACGGTAAAATTTCCGCACCTGCACGCAAACTCTGACCAATGCGTGCAAACGTTTTGGAGACGGAGCAGTTTGGCGACACCGATGGTGAGCTGGAGTTAAACTGACACATATATATTGCCTATCTAACGGCAGATGAATCATCATAAATACAGTGCATGTTCACAATAACACTTTAAATAAATAAAGTAATGATTTAAACTGTTTTACTTTTGATATAAACATTTAGATTAAATGTGCCATTCTCATTAATGGAGTTAAACTCTTAAACTACATGAAATCATTACTGAGAAGTTGCAACATTTTTTATATTGAATAAATATAAATATTTGTTGTGAATGCAATGTTTTGAACACTTTCCCTCTGGCATTCTTTGTTTTAATGTTTTAACTACAGAGATAATTGCTTATGATAATAGCAGATTGTCTGAGAAAAATAGTTTTGTGCAAATAATGCACAACAAAGTTTCCATTAAAAATATAAATCAATTAAAAATACTATTTGGCCAGTGGAAAAGATTGAGAAACGTTCTCTAAAATGTATTTTACACTATTTGATTTATTTATTCAAAAACGGGGCAAGGATAGGCTTATGATTTTTATTAATGTAATGTGACGGCACATCCACATTTCATATTTTCCTAATATCTTGTATCGTTAAACATGGTATCACGTGGATGAATAAGCATATGCAAATGATATGCCGATGAGGATATGCATAGTAAAACTAGGCGTTGTAAGCTCCATATGTGGTTATTTCGGGGTGGAGACGCATGTGCGCATAATCTTCCGCTGACTGGGATTTATAAAGTGAATTCTGTGCAGGTTCTGGTGTACGAACAGTTTTATAAGTCTGAATATTTTTGGTCGTATGCCATTTTTTGCTTTCCGCCGCACATACACTTTAATTAAGGACAGTTTTATAAATGAGACCCCTGATACTTTGTTACACAGACAAAAACCTATTCTATTTGTTTTCTGCTTGCGTTCACTTGAATTTTCCTTAAAATGATCCTCCTTAAACTGATTATAACTACTTAATATGTTCATTTTAGATCAGATGGAAATAACAGAGCTAAGAGAAGAACTGAATGAAGTAAAGCAACACTGTGACTTCAAAACTCAAGGAACAAATGCCAAAAAGCTGCACTCCTGCTCACAGTGTGGAAAGAGTTTCAGACATAACGGACACCTTAAGGCACACATGAGCATTCACACTGGAGAGAAACCGTATCCATGCACTCAGTGTGGAAAGAGTTTCATATCTTCATACATACTCAAAATTCATCTGCGTATTCACTCTGAAGAAAAACCATTTAACTGTGATCAGTGTGGTAAAGGGTTTATTTTGTCATCACATCTAAAATCACACATGCAAGTTCATTCAGATGAGAAGCCTTATGTGTGTTCTCTCTGTGGAAAGAGTTTTCCACGAATGAACAGTTTTAAACTGCACCAGAAAACACATGATGAAGTGAGAGCTTATGTGTGTTGTGACTGTGGGAAGAGCTTTGCTGTAGCTGATTATCTGAAACAGCACCAAAGAATTCATACTGGAGAAAAACCTTACAAGTGCTCATATTGTGACAAGAGTTTCACTCGGTCTGGACACCTGAAATCACACAAGAAAGTTCATACTGGAGAGAAGTCGCATCACTGTGATCAGTGTGGAAAATATTTTATTTCACTAGCATATCTCAAAAAACACCTAACTGTTCATACAGTTGGTCAGGCTCATGTGTGTTCTCTCTGTGGAAAGAGTTTTTCGAGGTTGGACCGTTTAAAAGTGCACCAGAAAACACATAATAAAGTGAGAGATCATGTGTGTTGTTACTGTGGGAAGAGCTTTACTACATCTAGTCATCTGAAACAGCACCAAAGAATTCATACTGGAGAAAGACCTTACAAGTGCTCCTCATGTTACAAGAGTTTCACTCGGTCTGGACACCTGAAAAGGCACGAGCGAGTTCATACTGGAGAGAAGCCGTACGACTGTACTCAGTGTGAGAAGAGTTTCAGACATGTATCAAGCCTTCACGCTCACATGAAAAACTGTTGCAAGTGATCCACATTCAATTATCAAATACATTCTTTTTTTTTTTTTTTTTAAATGAGTGGAAAACTAGAGAGATTTAAGAGGTGAAGCTTCTAAAGTGACTCACAAAACAACTCTCTTTCAGTGATTTTAGTTCAAAAGAGTGAACATTTAGAAGAATATTGATCAATTTGTATGTTTTTTATGCCACATTTCTTTTTGAGATTGATCATTTCTATACTGTCTCATTATACTGTTTGTTACCTCTTACACTGGGGCAGAAATCCCATTAAAAATATGCCCCCCAAATTCAAGATATTGGGGTAAAAAAATATTTAATTTTCCTCAGTTGTTATATTAATAAGAGGAACAACTCAAACATCATACAATCAAGCAACATAAAATCAAGAGTGCGGTTTTCAAATGTGACATTACGCAATTGCTCCATGACCAAGTTATTAATGGGTAACTTTAAATTTTAGACAAAGTTTGTCAACAGAAAGGATAGTTTTTGTTTATAATGATTGACAAGTTGCAGCCATAGAAATTATAGCAAAGTGTTGTTTCTAATTAGTTGACCTTACTTTAAAAAAAGAGGCAAATCGATAGCCTTACTTTCCCTGACTATTGCCTTACCAAATGAACCAACCCTTTGAATACAATGATAAAATATGCGGCCCCTTTAAGAAACATCGCGCTTGTCTTAAATTGGCGTGGCTTAAGCCCATTTTGGCAATATAGCAGGTTTAAATCGACTGAAGCGACAAATCCTGACAGATTGCAATAGTGCGGCAGGGCGAGGATACCAATATAATGGGAATGGGGGCATGCATTTACCTTCTTCATCATAATTCATTTTATTAACCATGGATTTATAAGATGTGACGTCATAAGCCAACATCCTATTAATTCCTTGATTAATATCCAGTCTTCTAAGGTTACTGTCTATAGTTGTATTTAGATAAGCCCATCCTGTGTACACAAATGTTTTTTTCCCCTTCAAAATAATAAACAGTCCATAGACTTCTATCAACAGTCAGTTATTCTTGGTCATTCAGTATGCCACTGACATTAACTGTCATTTTGTATTTTGGTGTTGGCACATTCTTTTTATTATGGTATTCAGGACTTTCTGGAGGAATAGCCCAAACTATTCTACTATCATTTGCATATCACATTCTTACTATAGGTAAGGGATAATAACCTCCTAACCAGGTATTTTTATATTTTATTCCCATTATATTATGAGTTTCCTTGTCTATTTTAATCTTTTGAGCTTTCATACTTTTCACAGTAATGCTCTCCAAAATATTAGTTCCGACATCTCCAAATAAATCCCACAATCGGAATTGTATTACCATTTGATCAGTCTCAGTCCCGTTTTCAGTAATCACATTTTTCCACAATTCACTATTTCTTTCCGTTATTGCTATTCGTAAGCCTTGCTGCGTTTGACCTTTTGAGTTCCTCCAAAAAGCCAACCAGTGTTTATTTTTATCTTCTTTTTCCCAAGTTATTCCAGCCCTAGCCATATTATTTGTCCCACAATTTCATTTTTCACAATTGTGGTCACATGGGCATATACTAGTAATATATTATTTTCTTTCATCTCCGTCTTGTAATTGCATCATTCCTAAGAGAGAGAGAAAAAAATTAAGAAAAAATAATAATAAAGAGATTAGATCACCCCCCTCCCCCTCCAGAACATTTTGTTAATTTACTCGATATTCAATTTTGTGCCAATTCTATGTTGACAGCATGTTACGTCCGTTGTGTGTGGGGGGGATTGTTTTTTTCCGCTCTGTTTCTCTCACTTTCACTTTCTTAGGTTGTTGCTGATTAGCTATCGTGCTTGTCAGTCTAGACAATGAGTGGCCGCGCCTTGGAAGGCGGGATCGGCATTACCGTGATGAGTGACACATGGTGAAGTGGATACTTAAAGACCATGCTTTCATGCAAGCTGGGAGAGAACCTTGTCTTGTCTTGTTTTGAGAGAACCTTGTCTTGTCTTCAGAGAACCTTGTCTTGTCTTGTTTTGAGAGAACCTTGTCTTGTTTTGAGAGAACCTTGTCTTGTTTTGAGAGAACCTTGTCTTGTCTTGAGAGAACCTTGTCTTGTTTTGAGAGAACCTTGTCTTGTCTTGTTTTGAGAGAACCTTGTCTTGTCTTGTCTTGTCTTGTTTTGAGAGAATCTTGTCTTGTTTTGAGAGAACCTTGTCTTGTTTTGAGAGAACCTTGTCTTGTCTTGTTTTGAGAGAACCTTGTCTTGTATTGAGAACATTGTCTTGTTTTGAGAGAACCTTGTCTTCTCTTCTCTTGTTTTGAGAGAACCTTGTCTTCTCTTCTCTTGTTTTGAGAGAACCTTGTCTTCTCTTGTCTTGTTTTGAGAGAACCTTGTCTTCTCTTGTCTTGTTTTGAGAGAACCTTGTCTTGTCTTGTCTTGTTTTGAGAGAATCTTGTCTTGTTTTGAGAGAACCTTGTCTTGTTTTGAGAGAACCTTGTCTTGTCTTGTTTTGAGAGAACCTTGTCTTGTCTTGAGAGAACCTTGTCTTGTATTGAGAACATTGTCTTGTTTTGAGAGAACCTTGTCTTGTTTTGAGAGAACCTTGTCTTGTTTTGAGAGAACCTTGTCTTGTCTTGTTTTGAGAGAACCTTGTCTTGTATTGAGAACATTGTCTTGTTTTGAGAGAACCTTGTCTTCTCTTCTCTTGTTTTGAGAGAACCTTGTCTTCTCTTCTCTTGTTTTGAGAGAACCTTGTCTTCTCTTGTCTTGTTTTGAGAGAACCTTGTCTTCTCTTCTCTTGTTTTGAGAGAACCTTGTCTTCTCTTGTCTTGTTTTGAGAGAACCTTGTCTTCTCTTCTCTTGTTTTGAGAGAACCTTGTCTTCTCTTCTCTTGTTTTGAGAGAACCTTGTCTTCTCTTGTCTTGTTTTGAGAGAACCTTGTCTTCTCTTCTCTTGTTTTGAGAGAACCTTGTCTTCTCTTGTCTTGTTTTGAGAGAACCTTGTCTTCTCTTGTCTTGTTTTGAGAGAACCTTGTCTTCTCTTGTCTTGTTTTGAGAGAACCTTGTCTTCTCTTCTCTTGTTTTGAGAGAACCTTGTCTTGTCTTGTTTTGAGAGAACCTTGTCTTCTCTTGTCTTGTTTTGAGAGAACCTTGTCGTGTCTTCTCTTCTCTTGTTTTGAGAGAACCTTGTCTTGTTTTGAAAGAACCTTGTCTTGTTTTGAGAGAACCTTGTCTTGTCTTCTCTTCTCTTGTTTTGAGAGAACCATGTCTTGTTTTGAGAGAACCTTGTCTTGTTTTGAGAGAACCTTGTCTTGTCTTCTCTTCTCTTGTTTTGAGAGAACCTTGTCTTCTCTTGTTTTGAGAGAACCTTGTCTTCTCTTCTCTTGTTTTGAGAGAACCTTGTCTTGTCTTCTCTTCTCTTGTTTTGAGAGAACCTTGTCTTGTCTTGTTTTGAAAGAACCTTGTCTTGTATTGAGAACCTTGTCTTGTTTTGAGAGAACCTTGTCTTGTCTTGTTTTGAGAGAACCTTGTCTTGTCTTGTTTTGAGAGAACCTTGTCTTGTCTTCAGAGAACCTTGTCTTGTTTTGAGAGAACCTTTTCTTGTCTTGTTTTAAGAGAACCTTGTCTTGTTTTGAGAGAACCTTGTCTTGTCTTGTCTTCAGAGAACCTTGTCTTGTTTTGAGAGAACCTTGTCTTGTCTTGTTTTGAGAGAACCTTGTCTTCTCTTGTCTTGTTTTGAGAGAACCTTGTCTTGTCTTCTCTTCTCTTGTTTTGAGAGAACCTTGTCTTGTTTTGAAAGAACCTTGTCTTGTTTTGAGAGAACCTTGTCTTGTCTTCTCTTCTCTTGTTTTGAGAGAACCATGTCTTGTTTTGAGAGAACCTTGTCTTGTTTTGAGAGAACCTTGTCTTGTCTTCTCTTCTCTTGTTTTGAGAGAACCTTGTCTTCTCTTCTCTTGTTTTGAGAGAACCTTGTCTTGTCTTCTCTTTTCTTGTTTTGAGAGAACCTTGTCTTGTCTTCTCTTCTCTTGTTTTGAGAGAACCTTGTCTTGTCTTGTTTTGAAAGAACCTTGTCTTGTATTGAGAACCTTGTCTTGTTTTGAGAGAACCTTGTCTTGTCTTGTCTTCAGAGAACCTTGTCTTGTTTTGAGAGAACCTTGTCTTGTCTTGTTTTGAGAGAACCTTGTCTTGTCTTGTCTTGAGAGAACCTTGTCTTGTTTTGAGAGAACCTTGTCTTGTCTTCAGAGAACCTTGTCTTGTCTTGTTTTGAGAGAACCTTGTCTTGTCTTGTTTTGAGAGAACCTTGTCTTGTCTTGTTTTGAGAGAACCTTGTCTTGTTTTGAGAGAACCTTGTCTTGTCTTCAGAGAACCTTGTCTTGTTTTGAGAGAACCTTGTCTTGGCTTGTTTTGAGAGAACCTTGTCTTGTCTTGTTTTGAGAGAACCTTGTCTTGTCTTCAGAGAACCTTGTCTTGTCTTGTTTTGAGAGAACCTTGTCTTGTCTTGTTTTGAGAGAACCTTGTCTTGTTTTGAGAGAACCTTGTCTTGTCTTCAGAGAACCTTGTCTTGTCTTGTTTTGAGAGAACCTTGTCTTGTTTTGGGAGAACCTTGTCTTGTCTTGAGAGAACCTTGTCTTTTCTTGTTTTGAGAGAACCTTGTCTTGTCTTGTCTTGTTTTGAGAGAATCTTGTCTTGTTTTGAGAGAACCTTGTCTTGTTTTGAGAGAACCTTGTCTTGTTTTGAGAGAACCTTGTCTTGTTTTGAGAGAACCTTGTCTTGTTTTGAGAGAACCTTGTCTTGTCTTCTCTTCTCTTGTTTTGAGAGAACCTTGTCTTGTTTTGAGAGAACCTTGTCTTGTATTGAGAACATTGTCTTGTTTTGAGAGAACCTTGTCTTCTCTTCTCTTGTTTTGAGAACCATGTCTTCTCTTCTCTTGTTTTGAGAGAACCTTGTCTTCTCTTCTCTTGTTTTG